CTCCGGAGCCCAGCAGGTCGAGGCTGCGGTGGCCGGGAGCGGCCACTACACTCCAGTCTGGGCGACAGAGCGAGACTCCAACTCAAAAAAAATAAAAGAAAAGTATATTCCCTAAAGTAGTAATAGCTCCCCTAACATGAGAGATGAGAATTCAATCCAGCTCAGGACCTGCACTCTCAGCCTTTAGAATGTGCTGCTTCCTCAATACAAATTAAAACAACAATGAGATTTTTATTTCCAATCAGATTTACAAGACTTCAAAAGACTGATGGCATGGCAGATTGTAGAAGAGCATTTTAGGAAACAAGTGCAAACATACCATTTGGTAGACAAATAAATTACTGAAGGCAGTTTGGCAAGAGTCATCCACATTTAAAATAGGCATCTAACTTTTGACCTTGCCATTCTACTTCCAGAAATGCATCCTTAGAAAAACATTCTCAAGGGTGTCTATATTCAGATATTGTTCAATGTAGCGCTAGGTTAGTAGCCAAAAAGCTGGGGTGGGGGGTGTTGTGGCAGGATGCTTAAGGAACCATTGGTAGGGAAATAACTAAATATATCACAATGTATCCAAAATATTAAATAGTCAGTACCCTTTGAAAATGGTCAACCTGGCCAGGCGCAGCAGATGATGACTGTAATCCCAGCACTTTGGGATATCAAAGTGGGAGATTGCTTGAGGCCAAGAGTTTGAGGAGACCAGCCTAGGCAGCAAAGTAAGACCCCATCTCTGCCAAAAAAAAAAAAAGGTCAACCTATAGATCTGTAGATGTAGGTGCAGAAAGAATTCTAAAACACAGTTAAATGACAACCAGTAGAGCATCACATCATTTCCTCTCCCTCCCTTAAAACAAAAACAAACACACAGCTCAGAAATACGTTGTAAAAAAAAGTGTTATTTATAAGTCAATCATACAATAAAATAATTACTTGTAAAAGTCACACATACAGCAGTTGTATAAAGTCAGTTTGGAGGAAGTTACGTCTTAAACATGTTGCGAACCCATCAAATTTAGTGCTGTTTTTCAAAGAGACGTGGTCCAAACCCTGTGAAGGCCTTATAATTTCATATTTGATAACAAGGGAACAAAGCCGACTATAAATAGTCCTACAATAATTTTACAAACACTAAGTGGTAAAAGCTATTCTTCCTTACAAAACAATCTACTACTCCGGCTTCTTGAAAGTTTCAACTGAAGTCAGTAAAAAGTTATGAAAATTTGCATTTACCCACTTACAATTCTCACTGTATTTTTCTTGAAGTAATAATACATACAAAAGCTCAAAAGATTAATAAAGAAATAGTTGGGCATTCTAATAAGCCAACAAAGATATTTCATTGTATGCCAAACATAAAAGAGACAAAAACATCTTTTTTTCCCCCAAAATTACCCATCAAGTGGAAGAGGCACTCAGCCCAGTGGGGCTCACACCTTTGCAGACATCATCATCACAGGCCTGCAGCACGCAGATTCCTGGGCCCTGTCTAGACACTGAACCCCTCACTATGGAACAGGAGGAATATGCGTTTTTCACGCGTTCCACAGTGATTCTTATAAAGTGATACAAGAACCCCAATTCTACGTCCAATCCCAACTCACTGCTGTTGTTGCCAACTTGACTCTAGACAGCTCATTAACCTCTTTAGTTTCCTCATTTGCAAAGTCAGTCAACTGGACTGACCATCTCTGAAGGCCTCTGAGCACCTTACAAAGCTCACATGGACCCCGGATGTAAAGGAAATCTCGTTTCAACCAAGAACTTAGTCTTCACGCCGAGTCTAGTCTTTGTAAGTCCCCAGGTTTCCATCTTTTCTCCACCTTCTCAAAAGTCGGCTTCAGCCGGGCTCAGTGGCTCGGCCTGTAATCCCGCGCCTTTGGGAGGCTGAGGTGAGTGGATTGCCTGAGGCCGCGGGTTCGAGACCCACCTGGGCAGGCGAGACCTCATCTCTACAATAAATGAAAAAATCAGCTAGGCGTGGTAGTGCATGCCTATAATTCTGGCTACTTGGAAGGCTGAGGCGGAAGGATCACTGGAGCCCAGCAGGTCGAGGCTGCGGTGGCCGGGAGCGGCCGCTGCACTCCAGTTTGGGTGACAGAGTGAGACTCCAACTCAAAAAAAAAAAAAAAAAAAAGTCAGCTTCTGTCAGTTCAGTTTCTGGTAGCATCTGAGTATGTAGAGGAATTCTGAAACTGACGTCTGTGTTGATCTTGGGGACTTCTCCTACAAACAGAGAAGCTGTTGAAGCTGTGAGATGTGCTACATATCCATGGCATGTGGCGATACCCACTCGGTTAGGAAGTAACAGACCGTCTCCATAACATCTTCCATCCTAGCATACAGCTTCCTTCTGAGGACCTGGAAAACTCAATAGGAGGTCTTCACGCTGGTTGAGCTTGTAGAGTAGGAGCTGGATTTCCTGGAGAACTTCTTTGAAGAGAGGGATACTTGCATCTGCTTTACAGTACGAACACTTCGACAAAGGAGCGCATTCTTTGCGTGATCCCTGAAATCTTGTGAGATGAAATAATAGACAAAGGGGTCAATGCAGCTGTTGAGGGTGGACAAGCAGAGGGCTACGATGTACAGGGCGTAGACATGGCTCTGGCTCCGGCTTTTAATCAGGAAATAATGCACCACGAGCAGAAGGTTACTGGGGGTAAAACAGATCAGGTACATGGCCAAAACTGTGATAATGAGTTTGATGGCTCTCTTCCTTTTCTTCTCCGAATTTTCATCCATGGCCGAAGACCTCAGTGTCTTGATCATCAGCACATAGGTGGAGGCCGTGAGGAAGGCTGGGAACAGGAAGACGCCAATGGCCAGAGAGAGGAAGTAGTTGAACATGTCCCCCACCAACACCTTCTCCGGCAAAACATCGTGACAGGTTGTGATGTTAAGGGCGGGAATGAAGACAGTCTGCTTCACAACATACAAGGGGATGGTGACCAGCAGAATCAGCAGCCAGATTCCCAGGGAGACACCGATGGCAATGTTGGCCTTCTTCCTGGGGTGTGCCATGGGGTTCACGATGACCCAGTATCTCTGCACGCTGAGGCAGGTCATGAAGAGGATGGAGCAGTACATGTTGCCATAGAAAAAGCCAATGAGCACCTTGCAGAGAGCTTCGCCGTAAGTCCAGTTGTTGCCATGGATGTGATAAGCGATCTTCAGGGGAAACCAGATGACAGAGAGGAGGTCGGCCAAGGCCAGATTGGCCATGTAAATCACAGCAGGGTGTTTCTTCTTTGTTCGGAAAAGAAAGACCCACAGGGCCATGCCGTTACTTGGCAGACCAACCACAAATACAACTGTGTAGACAGCTGGAAGGAAGATGGTCGTCAGTTTTCCAGTGAGGACAGACTCAGAAAACTCATCCACAGAAAAGCCTGGTTCCACTGTCACTCCTTTTCCTGAGACTTGAGGTGGGTCATCGATCTTACCAATGAGACTTCTTCCTTTAGAGGGTCTACTGGTTCCTGCACAAGAAAGGCAGACAAAGTTCATTACAGAACTAAACTTTTCCACAGTCATGCAGCTTTGTTCCGATGAAAGTACTTTAGGCCGGGCGCGTGGCTCAAGCCTGTAATCCCAGCACTTTTGAAGTCAGAGGCGAGAGGATTGCCTGAGCTCAGAGGTTCAGGACCAGCCGGGCAACTTGGTGAGACAGAGTGAGGCTCCAACTCAAAAAAAAAAAGTACTTTAGATAAAGATGGAAATATACTATTAAGAGGATCACACAAAATGCTTACAAGGCTTTGTCTGAGTGATGAGATTATTGAGATATAATCTGGCTTTTTGTGTTTTTTTTTTCAATGAGTACCATTTTATTGGGGAGTTGTAGAGAGTTGTGTGGTGCATGTGGGACATGAATCTCTAGAAATCTTGAAAAGACTTTCAAGTTGTTTTTGCTTTTTTGAGTTGAAGTCTCACTCTATCGCCCAGGCTGGAGTGTGGTGGCACACTCACAGCCACCACAGCCTCAACCTGCTGGGTTCAGGAGATCCTTCCACCTCAGCCTTCCAAGAAGCTGGACCCACAGGTATGTGCCACCATATCCAGCTAATTTTTTGATTTATTGTAGAGATGAGGTCAACAAATTGCCCAGGCTGGTCTCAAACCCACGGGCTCAGGCAATCCTCTCACCTCAGCTTCCTAAAGTGCTGGGATTATAGGTGTGAGCCATTGCGCCTGGCCAAGATTTTCAATTTATTTCAATAGTATTTCAATTTATTTTTACAAACTGCCCACTCATTGGTTTCCAATTGTTCTTACCACATGTCCATCAACAGTCCCTTGATGAATCAATTAGTACAAATCAGTTTAGGATTGTACAGCAATTCCTTTCTAGATTCACAGGTGTGTAGAATAGCAAGTCCTGACCTGACACCAGCTTTCTAATTTCTTACTTCATAAAGGCTAACTATCTCACCCTGACCCTGAGCCAGGATCCAGCTTGGTCGATTAGTCATACCCTATCCCAGAGCTTGGCATAGGGAATTTCCCAGGACCACAAGGGACATTCCCTTTCCACCCATAAGGGTAGCCTCAACAATGGGCAGGGACTTCCCGGGATACCTCCCTGTAGAGGCCAGCTGGCAGGCAAGGCTTCTAGTCTCAAGGTGGACAGGTGGCTGCACTGATGACAGATCTGTGTTTTTTCTTTTTTTTTTTTTTTTTTT